GGGGCTTCTTTCATGTACCCAGCAGGAGCTGGAGTGAAGGTTGGGAGCTCACCCTGTCCTATGGCAGCACTTGGATCTTGAACGGGGGCTTGTTAACCTCCAACCCAGCATTCTAACCGCATGAAACACCGTGTTCCTGACTGATTTATGCAAATGATAATGTTAGGTTTATGTTACATGAGGACCACCTGTCAAGGTAACTGGTAGGGCAAAAAAAATTGCCAGTAGGCTGAAGTTAGGATTAGGTTTCCTTGAGGTCCAAGATTGTATTTAATAGGTGGCTAGAACATTCATTTATTCCTCATATTTATGTAACTGCGCATTTCACAATAAACTGTGGGTGACGTTGGGGTGAGTCTTTATTATTATTGATATTTTTAAGTTTAATGCTATAAGGATTATGTGTTTGAAATAAATCAGTAGCTTTAGCAGCTTTTATGAAATACCTGAGCAATTCCTTCATCCAAAACCTGCTTGTAAATTTTAAACAGTTGAGCTGTAAAGTCATCCACTTTAATGATACTAGGAAGAAGTAGAAAACAAGATCATATGTAGAATTCAGACTTACTGTAAAAATACAAGGATCATCTTGATCTAAAACCATTTTTAAAAAGACACAAAGTTCCCTAGAATTTTTCACAAGTAGGGCAGAGAAGTCCAAATATTAGACCAAATATTTTAGAGTGATGTTTATTCCTCCATAGCATTTTCTATTTGTGGAACAAAGTTGCTCGTTATATAAAAATAGGTTAGCAGGAAAAGATCTTGAATGAACCTATATATTTTTTTAAAAATATACCATTTTAGGAAAATACTTATTACTAGGAAGATTTTTTTTTTCATTATTTTCCTCAGTTTACTGTATGCTGTTATTTCTTTTAAAAATCCAGTTCTTCATATTTCTGATGCTATTTGGACCTCCAGCAGCAATTTATGTGCAAAAAATCCGCTCAAAATGTATACATTAATTTTCAACATACACATAATGCCTGGGAGTTCACATTATGTTTTTCCAACTGTCATGTAACCACTAGAATCACAAGATCATTCAGATGAAAAAGTATAGCAGTCTTGGAACCTATAATATATATACTGCTTAAACATGACAGAACATGAAGTGTGATGCTTGTTGATATTTATTTACTTAGAAATAAATTTATAACATGTTTCCTTAATTTTACAATCATTTCCAAACAATTAGACAAAAATCACTTGAATAAAATAGACACAGAGAGGACGCTGATGTGAACAGTGAGGAAGAATGTATGAATGTTCCTTCTACATTCCGCTAAATCAATTTTAATACAAGTTGTCCCACAATTGAGTTGCTAAGCAACATAGTTATTAAGTGAAACATCATGTGACTGTGCCTGACTTATGAGATCAGTTCCACTATAGTTGTTAAGCAATTCATCCGTGATCATTAAAAATGACATCATGTGATAATGACTTACAACTTCTGCTAGCTTCTCCACTGATTTTGCTTGTCAGAAGTTGGCTGTGAAGCTTGTAAATGGTAAACATGGGCCAGTTTAAAAGCACCTGAATCACAATCACATGACCACAGGGTGCTACAACAGTTATAAATTCAAGGACCAGATGTAAAGCTGCTTTTTCAACACTTGTAAATTTGAACAGTCACTATACAGAGAATTTGTTAACCGAGGACTACCCATCCAGCAACTATGAAAAATGCAACTGAAATAGTTTTTTCCCCTTAATATACAATAGGCAGATATACCTGGCAAGAGTGCACTCTAGGAATTCTGCATCCTGGCTAACTTTATCCACTAGCAGGTTAAAGTCTTGCTGAATGGAATAGGCTTGTTCAAGCAGATCTTTTGGTACTGGAGATGGGAGCAATGTAAAAGGTGCATAATTCACAACCTGTTAAAACAAGTAAAAGCAATGGATATAGTGGCTCATTCCCTTTGAACAAGTAACCAAACGAGGCTCTTACAAGCTTTTAAAGCATACTGAAAGTATGTAGGAGAGGCAACTTAATAGCGTTACAGCAGAATTATATTGGCAGCATTATGTACTTTCAGAAGCAGAGCTTTAATGGAAACAAGTGTTCCATAAATGACATAGCTGCAAAGGAAAGGCAAATGGGAGCAAATAAAAAAAACAGGAGCTTTCCATGTATGTTTTGTCACTGTGACCTGCTTGCTCGCATTGGATCACTACATGCTGCCAGATTCATTAATGGTACCATACATGAAAAAAATACCACATGGAGACAAATTACTGTAAATGTTGCTTTACAGGCAGAAAATTGTCAGCTATATTCATTGACCATTATATGATGGAATTTCTCTACCCATTTAGATATGCAAGTATATAAAATGATAGTGGAAAATGAGCAGTACATATAACAAATATAAAATAGTTATGGTTTTCAATCAACCAATCTAGGAATAAAGGACATGTAACTAATAAAGTTGTAGGAAGTATATAGTTAAGTAACTACTGAGCAATAATATTGCTATACAATAACATAAGTACTTGTCTTAAGACCTGTCAAGAAGATATCTATGTGGTGCTACAAAGATTTTGCAACATAAATTCTAGTTTTGAACTTACGTCAGAAGCATTGGGGTCATCTTTGGTCCTCATTAGAACACCTTGAAGTAGTGCTACATCTATTGCGATTGGAGCCACATATTGAATGAGCTCCTCATTTTGCAAAATATCTTTCCAAAGCGTAGTCATTGCAAAGACTGAAAAAGAAAACAATAAAATTCTAAAAATGGTATTTTATACACACACACAAGATGATGTGCAGAGAAAAATAAGATTCCACATCCATTAAAAATATCATATTGCAATAAATTAAAAATTCAATATGAAATCATATAATATTAAGTTGTATAATACATTTAAAACAGTGTGGAAGCTTGATATTTAACCATCCAAATAATTAGCAAAAGGCAGATTGGAATATAATTAGATTTTAAAGATTGATTTAAAAATTTTCACAATGTGTTGGAAGGAATTTTTATAAGTTTGAGCCCCCACCAAGAAGTTGATCTTATTCACGGATAGATAATTTTGTAACTTAGTCCTAAAAAAACACTATCTGCCTAAAATATACCTGGGAGTACATCCCACAAAAAATATAGTGGTACTTTATATAGTAGCATTCAAAGTCTCTTAGTGAACTTCACACTTGACCAAAGACACGAGAATACATATCTAATTCTTAGATCCAAGATATAAGTTCACAAACAATTAAGAGCCTGATCTTTAAGTCTGATTATTTTTCTTGAAGTAAATATAAAAACAAATGAATTACAAAATTCATGGATAGCAAATAGCAATTTTCCTTCCAATTACACACAGGCACACATACACACACAGGGGAAACATTGTTTTACAGAAATATACTGAATGATTCCTAAATACATAGTTATGAAGCACCTCAAAATGAAATAGTATTGTAGATAAAATCAGATTTTCATGACCGCTGGAGAACAGAATGAGTGGAATACACTACTGTATCATTATATTCTGTCCATTCCCAGAACTTTCCTCTTTGTTGGTATAGATTTCACATAGTCATCAATTTATAATGCTGTCTTTTGTATCAATGTCTGTGTAACCTGTGTATGAGCTCCAAGAATACATTTTTTTATCATACTAGAAAAAAATGCACTGATTGAATATCTTTTTTATCAGAGGAATTCCCCAATTTCTGATTATTTTTAGTGTAATCTGGCAGTTATACCTCTGGACAAAGCAGTAATCTATTAACAATAATCATGACGTGTCTCTATGAGCCAAGAAGTACAATAATGAATCTCTAGAGATATGAATCTTGATAACTTATGTCAGAACAGCAATTATAATCTTTTAAAACATTATACAGAAATCCAGGCTAATGGAAAGTTTGTTCAAAGGAAGCTTCATGCTAAACAATGTAACCAAACACTGTAATAATGAGTTACTTTAGAAAGAATTTAAGCTATTTACTTGAACAAGTATAAACAACTTTGTTTTATTAGGTTCAGTAAAGTACCTATTGTGACTTGCAATATTATATATCTATGGCTGAAATCATGGAGGAAAAAAATCAATTATCTCTGAAACACACTAGTATTGTTTTAATATCAATTAAAATAAATGAAAGCAAACAAAGGAGTGGGGAAAAAAATCTCAACCGTCATACACAAAAAGCAAATGCTGAATCATCTATGATGGCCTGTCTCTAGTTAATAAATGTTTTTAATCACTCCTTCCCCCCCCCCACTTTCTGTAAACAACAGCATCTTTTAGAACAGATCTCCCACATTCGCAGTCCATAATCTGTGGAAGTGAAGTGCCTTCTTTTCCATCATAAAATTATTTGACAGTTCCGTTATAGCAGTTTTTAAAGAGACCACGTTTGCCTCTCAGGATTCACCTCAGCATCCCAGATATTGGCTAGCTTTGGTCCCGGTCCATTTCTGCTTCTCCAAGGCCCTCGGCAGCTGCTTAACTCTTTAGACCATTCCCACCCACTCCCAATCGAAAAGACAAAGGCTCCTCTGCGTCCTTCTGCCCTCAAGTCCCGCACCTCGCTTTTTGTCACCTGAGAAAGACTGTGGGTTAATGGGCACCACTGGGTCCTCCCATTTCTCCCTTCCAGTGGGCAAGGAAAGGCGTCGGACGCTACATTCTCGGCTCAGTGCACTGATGCTCATTAACACACCGGGACCTTTCCGCGGATTTAAATTTTTATGCAACCGCTGAAAAATAGAAGACATATATCCCGCCGCCCAGGCGCGCACCCACCCATCCACTCAGTACCTGAGACCACTCTGACGGGAATCCACAACTATGTCCGCTCAGATAACCCCTCACAGATTGGCTACTCTTTCAGCCTATCCACGAACACCAGTGTCCTTTGCACTGATTGACAGGAGTCTCGTATAATCATATCGGAAAAGTACGTACACACAAAAAGGCGAATGCCGAGGACAAAGGCGGAGCCTATGTAAATACGGAGGCGGGTTCCGGAGCCTTCCCCTCCTTCTCTTTACCTGATGCATGTTTCTCTGGGAGTTTTTTCATGTTTGCGGGAGCGGGCGCCATATTTGAATATGGATGGTAGCTAGTGCAGAGCAAGGAAGGGAGGGACTGGAATGTGGTCTGAAGTAAAGATAACGGGATGGGGAAAATTGTATTACAGGGCATTTCTACAACCAGGAAGCTATGTACCCAAACTACTGCCTGTCGGGCGTTTATTCCTTGCAAGGACGGCTGTATATCGGGAAAGGTGACCTCACCATGTAGGGGTCCGGTCACAGAGGGGTGCAGAAGTCACGCGTCAGACTTGTGAGCGTCTTTGACATCGCGTATGCTGCCTTGGGGTGAAACCCCACCACCACCGCATGGATGAACTCCTGTAAGACCTGCGAAGGGAACGCCCTGCAGGTGAGAAGAGAAGCTTCCGTCGTGGAACAGGATGGCCAGGGAGGGAGGGAGGGAGGGCGAACAGGAGTAAACCTTTCAAGGGGACGTTCATGCGTCCTCCAGATGGTTGAGGTGAAGTTCAAAATCGGAATGGAGACCCCCTTTTCTGGAACAATATGCTCTGAGGAGGACTAAGTTCTAATGAGCCAATTCAGGCTCTTTCTTTTTACTATCCAAGGAAGCATTCATTCCATATCACAAATATACCTGTATGTGAAAATAGTCCTCACTTAGAAGATCCGTTTCTCCTTTTCACACACACCCTTTTCTTGTCTTTTTTAATACTGTTTCAGACACTTTAAAAAATAAACAATGCCGTAGTTCCCACTCATTAGGTTTCTCTGGCAGTGTCTTATCCAGGTAGGAGTAGACATCATCCTATCTAGCCAAGAGAAGCTCAGCCTGGTATTGATACCTATTTCTTGTTTCTTCTGTGTAAAATTTGAATTATACAGTCTTTGAGGCAAGAACTTTTTGTAAACAAAAAGGCATCATGCAAAGTGTTGCTAACTTATAATTGGTAGCAAGAATAGAATTGATATTTCTCCATTTTTATTGAACCATGGCACAACATGCCCTGGCAGCATCTTTTTTTCTCCTGTTACTTATATATCTTCATAAGAGTGGCCTTGTCTTATGCCTAACCAATCAACAAGGCAGTCTTAAATTATTTTTAATTCACCAGAATTAATTTCTTTGGATGTACCTTTGTCATCCTTTATTTGTAGAAGACTATATAATTTCAGACTATATAAGCAGGATACGGATCAATAATAATACATTTTATGTTGGTATATTTTTCTGCCAGTTGAAGAATGTGTCGATAATACAATTGAGCAAGGTAGGGCATTCATTTAATGTAATAACAAACTAAGCTTATGGAGAATGTTAAGATCAATGCAATCTTTTTTTTTTTTTTACCTTTTGCCTATTATTTTCCAATAGACATGCAAAGAAGTAGATTGCTGGAAAGTTGAGAATAATCTGGCCCATTAGCATATAGCAGTATTTCAAATGCAGTTTATATAATTATTTTGGTCTTTAATGTTCAGCTTGATGTAGTAAGTGCTATAAAAAATAAAAAAAATGTTAGATCAGTTTAGGATGATGAAATATTGCATATTAGTCTACTGATTTAAATTGGTCCAATAAAATATATTTTGCCTACTTATTTTAAATATTTAATTATTTAAATAATTTAGTTAATAATGTAATCCGATACATATCAATTCAAAAGTAAGCATTATATCTTCTATGAGATTTAGTCCCAGGGAAGTGTATATATAATTACAACATACATTTTAGGTTCACCACTCCCACTTTGCAGTTATTAAGTAAACACTCCAAAAATGTCAGCCAAGGTACAATCATTAAGAGAGAGAGAAGAGAGAAAGAGAGAAATCATTAAGAAAGAAATAGCAACCCACTCTAATATTCTGCCAAGAAAACCAAAAAGATACTCTCAGCCAGGATAAAGTTGACATGATTCTGAAATATGATACTTCCAACCCCCAGTTTGGAAGATATCCAAAAAGCTATTGGGGAGAGGACAGAACAAGTATGAAAAGCACTAGTGCTTTTAATGTGGCAGGATTAAAGCTGAAAGAACATCCAGCCGCTGTTGTAGCCAGAGACAAAAGGGGACTTAAATACAACACTGCTAATATATATGTATACCATTGGTATGTGGAATGTCAGTTCCAGGAAATAAGACAAACTTGGTGTGATCAAAGCAGAAAAGTCAAGATGAACATTAACATTTTGGGAATCAGCAAGTAAAATGGAATGGAATGGATCATGTCACATCAGAGGAGTATCAGTTTTTCTGCAGGCCAAGCAAATAGAGTACCCATCATTAATAACAAAAGGATGCCAAAGACAGTCTTTGGATACATTCCCAAAACTGATAGACCGATCTCAGTTCAAATCCATTGCAATATTACGGTTATTTGAGTCTATATTCCAACCACAGATTCAGAGGAAGTGAAACTGAACATTCTATGATGTCTTGTGATACTGTGTTGACATAACACCAACAATGTCACATTTATTATGAACACAAATGTGAAATATTATTTGGAATAATTAATATGTTTGGCCTAGATATATGAAATTAGACAGGTGAAAGCTAAATAAAATTAAATGATTATAGTATATAATAGTTAATCTCAGCAACATAAAAGATGATTTTTAATTGTCTATTCTCTGCAAGTAAAGATGGAGAAGTTTTGGTGCTGACTGCAAACATCTTGCAAAATTATAGCTTAACTAAAGAAAATAGAGTCATGAAACCAATAAGATACAACATCAGCAGCATTTTATATGTTATATAGTGAAAATTACACATTAAATAGATGGATTAGATTTGATTTGATAAATAGAATATCTAAAAACCACCAGACTGAATTTTGCGTCATTAAAGTTCCCAATGTTCTCAAAATGCAAAAAGCAAAAGAAGGGAAAAGGGAAGCTCATTGATATCATGAAAATAATTGAAGAAAGGCAAAAAGCAAAAGACAATGGAGGCAGAGGAAAATTTGTCTAACTAAACACCAAATTTAGCAAGATGAGACAAGGAGATGTAAATAATTGGCACAAAGTTATAAGAACAACAATTGAATAGAAAAAGCAAGAGTTTTACAGGTAGGACTTGAAATCAGGAGTGACACTCGTGTACTCTATGTGCTCTAAAGAAACACTGAATTAGTTGTCCCTATCCAAAATAATAGTTGTGGAAGACATAAAATCAAATTGGAAATATTTAAAAATAATCTATGATATTCAAAAGTTTCTTTTTCAAGGGATAAACGTACATATTGCAGTAAGGAATAAAACGTACATGTAGAGTATCAGAGAAAAGTAGTTAAAAGAACAAGAAATGCTTTAGGAAATATAGGCTGTATTTTAATTTATTGCTTCTCAGAGCGATTAGTAGATAGATAGATAGATAGATAGATAGATAGATAGATAGATAGATAGATAGATAGATAGATAGATAGATAGATAGATAGTATATCAAAAATCCTCCTTCTATATGGTATAAACATAAATAATAAACATATAAGTCATATAATACCATATATTCCTATATCTTATAAACATACATATGGCATTAACATATAAATAGGATATTTCTATCTCTTAAAAATATTTTTATTCTTAATTGCTGATTCTGTTAATATATATATTAAGAACATTATAACTAAAGTTATATATTGTATGTATAGTATGTGAATTAAGTATGTGAATTCATTACATCAAATCTATGTGAATAATTGGACAAAATATAATTGGGACCATAGATACTAAAAATTATTTTAGATACTAAAATAGATACTAAAAATAGAGATACAATTTTTGATATGGAAATATTGTCAGATACATTTTAAAATTTATTTTGATTTCTAATAAAACATTGATCATACTATATTTCTGTTTCAGATGCTATGTCCAGCAAAAACCTAGCAGACTGTGACACAGAAAGTGAATGTGATTTTTATTCTGACTGTTGGGAACAAAGTATTACAAATAACAAAGGTAAATATGCCAGACAATAAGGAAACTCTTTGGTATTTTCACTGCTTTTTCTAAGTTAGTAAATCTATTGTTTTTAGTACAGGCAGTTTACAGTTTTGTTGTAATGCTGAATTTGGTAAAAATCAACAATTAGAAAGCAAACATTTCTGTTTTTTCCCTTTATTTCTCCTAGATTTGACTGACTCTAGCAATTACTTCTGTTTTGATTCATGCAGCTTGTTTGAAAAAGAAAAGGGGGAAAAGAAATTGCATGGCATAGTGCTTATATTAGAAAATAGCCAGGTGAACAGTACAAGTTTCTGCAAAGACAATCCTTTGCTGCAAAGAGAAAAAGTAGAGTGCACTAGTAAATTGCAAGAGGAATTATCACTGGAATCTAAATTATTTTTAAAGTGTAAGAACTATAATACAGATGGCCAGTCATTGAAATCTTTTTCAAACAAAATAGTTCCATTCATATATAGTAGCTCTTATGGAGACCATTTAAGTTTAAATAAAGCAATCCCTCAACTGATCATTACTGAAAATTCCATTGAAGGGCAAATCATTTATATAGTGAAAGAAGCTTGTGCTTTTGATAAATTCCATCAGAAGCAGTCATCAGATGGTAACCCTCTAACTTCAAAGCAAGACAAAGCTGTGCAAGTTTCTTCTACAGAAATAAAAATAGAGGACAATATTTGCTATAAATATTTCAAACAATCACCAGTATCTACTACAATAAATAAAGATCTGAAGAAACCTAAAAACTTTCACAGTTTGGAAAGTCATTTAGTAAACAGCCATTCAGAATACTCCTCAGAATATTCTTATCAAATTGAAAACCAAATTGCTGAGCAAACCTACTCAAATTCCAGTTCAGAAGAGCCTACTACTTCTTTGACTCTGGAAGCAACTAATGTATATCCAGATGGTTCATTAGCAAGCAATACTGAACTTTCAGATGTGAGTGAGCATGAAAATCCCCAGAGGCATGCTTTAATTTTTCAGTTTAAAGACTCTGAACAAAACCAACCATTTAAGAAGTTGCATCTTATTTTAGTGCCACAAAACCAAACCACACATATTAAAAAGCAGGGAGGACTTTCTCAAATTCTAATTGATGAAGCCAAGTATCTTCTAGGGACTCATTCAGATCCATCAGAATCTAGTTCTTCCAATGTAAATTCTGATCAAGCATTACCTACATCAAATCTTTGGTCCTCATATTCATGTTTCCCACCTTTCAAATATTCACAGGCAAATCGGTTACCTCACTTTTTTCTTAAGTCAGCACCCCAAAATCCAGTTAAATCTGCTTTTCAAAAAAGAAAACCAAAAGTGTCCAAACCTGTAAAATCTGTTGTGTTTACCAAACAGAAAACGTTGCAAAGAGACAAAAAATATAAAAGTAAGCCATCTATTTTCTCCAAATTTCATTCACTCAAAACATTGGACATTGAGCCTGTAGACAAAAATAAAAGAGTAAAAACAGAACTAAATGAACAATATGTGTCTTTAAATCAGACATCGAAATGCCATTGCAGCCCATTGCTTGACTTAACTGTTGATCTGCATTCTGAAGACAAAAATTCTGAAAAGTTTCTAACTCTTCACAGAAAATCTCACAGAAAAACTCGAGTAGGCAAAGTCATTCATAGATTTTCCTCCCATTATTTGCTAAGTCCTAAAAACAGTTTTGAAAGGCTTCACTATATTTCTCCAATTAGGAAAAAAAATCATTTGAAGATGCAAAACATACTGAATTATTTTTTAGGCTGGACTGGCAGACAGAACAGAGATGAAAAATATAAAGAGGGTATTTCTCCCACTTCAAAGATACGGGCAAATGAGACATTTATTTCACATATGCCAGCTGACAAAAGAAATTCAACTATTCCACTTCATCCACATTCAGATAATTATTCTGTTCCATTTCCTACCACATTGACTTTTGTAGATGTTCCCTCTTTGCAAACAGAGAGAAGGAATCCTACAGCATTATATATTTTTCCAAATGAATGTAAGCATTCATCTGCTCCCTGTGTGGAGATGGAGAGGGATCCTTTGAATCCTGTGGAATCTTATGGTAAACACAGCACCTGTCATTCTCCTTGTTGTGCACATTCTAAAACACAACAATTACCAAATAAATTAAATATGTGTAATAATAGAAGTATGGAAAAACTGAATTTTGGAACTGGTCAGATAGCAGGGGGAGATTTGGTCCTGAAGAAGTTTTCAGTGTGCTCCTGTGGAACTATGTCACAAAGTGGTTTGTTCCCTAACAATGACATTTCAGAGTCAGGTAGAAGGAAATCTAGAGCAAGCCCAGATAGTAATTGGAAAGTCAGTAAGACTGCCGCAAACAGATGGAATCCAACTGCAGGAAACTTCAACACAGAGAAAGTGTGCTGTGGTTGTCACCATGTCTCTTCAACATGTTCTTCACACAATTCATGCAAACACAAACCTCCAAGAAACCAAGTTATTGAAGTAGCATCTTTATTTGAAAATGGATTTCCCATAAGGAATTTGAAAGAGGATGTATTAAAAAATGAAACAGGGAAAATAGGTGAAAGAAAAGTCAAATTCCATCTAGGATCAGATGCTTTACAAGAGACTGATCTTTTAACCACACACATTTCATCACCAACTAATGAATGTCATCAAATACCAAAACATTTTGTTTATCAACCTGAATGTTCATGCTGCCAGACTGCTGTAAAAGAACACCTCAGCACATCAAAAGTGTCTAATTGCCTTGGTTCAGAAAACCACATGTCAAAGAATTACCTCAACAGAGAGAGTATTTTTCTAGTGGATCCTAATCGGCAGATTAAAAGCCAGTGTAAATGTTCCCATGAAATCTCTCTCTTCAAGCCTGAGCAAATTGATGTTTATTCAGGAAACAGATCTGAGGTTTCAAAGAGGAAGGCTCCCAAACTTACCCAGGTTTGTATTTTGTCAAGTAAACAATATAAATGACTTAGTTTGGAATATTAATGCTGCAGTACAGTATGCATTTACCTGGGAATTAGCCCATTTTTTAAAGTTAATACATAAACTTTTAGAAGAAAAATACTTAACTTTTAATTCTTAGAAAAGCAACTAGTACTTTTAAATGATTTGTTTATTTATATTAATGTATTCTTGATAAGTAAGACAATAGATAGAATGCATTGTAATATAGATTCTCTTAGTCTTAAATACTAGTGTCCCAAAAGATTGAGCATGTATATTGAGAAAATGCTTTCCTAAAATATGTTGGTGTTGTCAGTGATAGGTTTCTCTGCTAGCTTCCTGGTCACTGCATTTGTAACAGCTGCAGATTCTAGATTATTTTCAAAGGCAGCTCCACTAAGAATATTCCTGTTGCATAATAATAATAAAGTTACTATCACTGATTCTTCCTGGTTCAGATAAGGCTGTAACTGGTGCTTCATGGGAGCAAACCCATCTGGAACAACCAATGTATATTCCTTGGAAGACCTTGGTGTTTACCACAGTTTTGGTAGTATTCATTTCTACTTGGCATCCAGGCACTGGTTCAAGATTTCAACTGCATCTCTAGTCTGATGTGTTACAATTGGAGACCATAATCATTCTTATGATACCTTATCATAAAACAATAGCTAATATCTCCCAACTGTTTCAAATTAATTTTAAACAACATAGAAGATTGAATCCTAAGTTACTCCATATTGGAACAACCAAAGATTTGATTACTATTCCATCATAATTCAACTAAACCGCTAATTTAGGGAGAAGCAAAATTATTATAGAATAGTGATCCCATTTCTTGTAGACACTCCAGTAGTCAAATGCTGCCAAGAAGTCTCAGAAGAAATACATTTGACCTCCAGCTCTTTGACCAGAATGACTGGTGCTATTTCTTTTGCATGTCCAGGCCTAAACCATGAATGAAAGGGATCTAGATGATTTGTTTGTTCCAGGATCCTCTTAAGATGATTCCCTGTCATCTTTTCAAGAAACTTTTCTCATATGCGGAGGCTAAAGACAGATGGAAGTTGTCCAGTACATTTATGATCTAAAAATGGCTTCTTCAAAAGGAGGCACATCGCCACCTTTTTCTAAGTAGGTGGTATTACACCCTCCCTTAGAGTGTCATTAACCACACTGAATTACACATATTCTACCAGAAGCACCAGGCAGGGCACAGACCCAATCCTTATATTACAGAGCTGTCTCTCCATAAGTTTTTAAAAGTTCCAAAGTATTCTAGGTCACAATGTAAAATGTCATAGCAGTTACTTCACATGATTTCTCAGCACTAAACCCAGTCTTGAGCAAAAATGAGCTTGCCAAAACTTATAAAAATCATCAATTTGTTCTGCAGGCACTATATCTTTCCTGTCCTTCCCTAAAAGGAACAGGACTATTCTGGACACAGTTACCAGGCAAGAATCTGCAGACTCAATAGCCACTATTATAGCTGCTGTTTAGCTTGTACTACTAGATAATTGTATTCACTTTTTCTTTGGTGACATATTTATTGGGCAATTTTTCATTTACTTCATCTTTGGAAATTAGGAGGCAATCTTGTTCTACGTTTGGTTACCTTTTCTCATAAACACTAACCAATGTCCATCAGGTGTCTGGGGTGGACCATCCTACTAGTCCCTTGGAAAGATGCAGGCTCCTTAGGATCAATACCCTAACCCAGCGGTTCCCAACCTTTTCTATACCCCGCACCCCTAGAACGCTTCTGATATATTCTCACACCCCTTACAAAAGTTTGAAATAATGGCAACAAATTATGCATATACACTATAACTTTGAAAACCCACGTTTTTGTACCCCTTGGAATATTGTCTCGCACCCCCAGTTGGGAACCCCTGGCCTAATCAGATCAATATCTGATCAAATATCTAGTAAATTACATACTATAGTTATGCAATCAAACTTACTGTGTTCCACATATCAGTTAAAGTACAAACAAACATTAAAGCAAAATAAATTTTGTATAACATTGTCCTTTCCATTTGGTTTTGTTTTCCTGTTTGTATTTGGACCAGATATAAATGCTAAAATGTTTTTTGTTATCTTAAGGCTTTTCATACAAAAGATATACTATATTTTTTTGTACAGCCATAAAGCAAGTCATGCTTTTTTTCTTTTTGCCTTCTGATCAAAGCAGCCAACTGTGTAAACAAAATTAAATTAATAATAATGCAATATTTATTATTTCCATTGCTTTTTTATTAAATACCTGGAAAATGTAGATTGTATTAGTATGATAAAGTGCGTTGTAGTCATGTTATATTTATAGTCACAGTAAAAATGTAGTATTTTTTAGAGATTACTGAATAAATTAAGCTCTAGTTTTTGATACATTTTGCAAAATCATAAAGTAACAGTGCAGCTCAAAATGAAGCAAGTATTCTGTATCTTAAAGTAGTTTTTCATTATTGACGTGTTTTATTTTTCTTAGGAGTCTTCAAAGTTTAATCATGGTTGGAAGAGACCTGAACAATGTAAATACTGCCAAGAAAAAAATCAATACAGTCATTTGCAGTAAGAAAAAGATGATTTAAAAATAATGAAATATTGGTAGAACTTGATAAGAACTTCAGAGAAAACCCATTGAAGTACCATAAAAAACAGTTAGAGGCATAAACAGATAGCAGTTCACTGATGAAGAATATACATTCTGCTCCAATGTATAAAAGGGTGAGAAGATAAAAGCTTCCTGCAGAGATAAGTCCCGTTACACTCATTTGAACTTGTTTCTGAATAAATATGCATAGGATTAAGTTCTTAATAATGTATACTAAATAGAAAATGTCTACAATAAATTTCAGCTTTATGGCTGTACGTTGGCCTCTTACAGCAAAAAATAGTAAAAGGTATCGAACTAGTATATTATTAATGGCATATCTTTTCATAGACTAGATCCCGTAAAAGCAGGTATTTTGTGCTGTAAATCAAGGAATACACGCTTTAAAATTGTGATTCATTTTAAAGCAGATTCAGTCATCATCATTGCATATACAGATAGTCCTTACTTAATGACCATTCATACAAGTTATAACAGTGCTGTCAAGTGCAAGCAACCAAACCACTCTGTGAATAGGTCTAAATAAATACTTTATTGCTGATCAATAAAGAATAATAATCTTACCAGATGTCCTTGAGAAACAGCAGATATAGAATTAGGGGTTTGACCTCAGAGGTTTCCTCCACCAAACCGACTCCAAGCTGGAATGTCTCATTCCTTCTAGAGCAGTGATGATGAACCTTTTAGAGACTGAGTGCCCAAACTGCAACCCAAAACCCATTTATGTATCATCGGATGCTGGATAGGCGTGGCCCATTGGGAGGGCATGGCCCATTGGGTGGGCATGGCTTCGGTAGCAACAGCAGACTGGGCGGGACTAAAAAGTTCAATCAATTCCAACTTTGCGAGATCTTTTTTTTCCCGCAAGAAGTTGAAATTAATTGATTGAACCTTTTTTTTTTTTTTTTTGCACATGTCGGCGGAAGTCTAAAGTGAAAAGGTTTTATAAAACCCAGCTGAAGGCTTAGGACTGGGGTGACAGTGCATGTGCCCACAGAGAGGGCTCTGCGTGCCACCTGTGGCACGCGTACCATAGGTTCACCACCACGGACTTATCCTCTTAATTTCATATGTTTATATTTTGTTGCTTGGTAGTTATCAAAATTAACACCAGCTCATCCATCCTGCTTTCCCAGGCAGATGGCTGTGCTTGGTAAAGAACTTGAATTAGCCTTAGGAATGCACAAACACACAGAAGAAAAGCCATTTTACACAGGAAAGTAATAAAAAATGAAGCACACCACTTAAACCTCTTACTGTAATCTACAATAGCATTGTTTATGGTATGGGCCATGGATGATATTTGTTGCTGTCCTACTCTTTATGTCTCGGTCTTCTGCTAGAATTAATTTTGGTGAATTTACTTGGAAAAGAGAGATGGATGGTGCACCCACATGGAGAAGAAAGAGGTGGTAAAATATCAGATGCTGGGCACACAAACATCTGAGATGTGATGCATCATCCCCTTTTACTTTCTCAAACTTTTCTCCTATGATCCCCATTGTAATTATCAACACTCCTTTAGATAGCTTATTATATACACTGTCACTATTTTATTCCATAGGGGGAAAAAATCTTCACATGGATTTATATGGGGGGGGAATTACCAAGGTTTCGTCTGCTTTTTTCCTGTAACTTTCAAGCAGAGAGGTATGCTAAAGAGTATCTTTCATAATAAAAGTGCTGACATTAAGAAAAAGAAATACAGGTTATCCTCTAATTAAAACCATTTGTTTAGTAACTGAAGTTAGAATGACATTGAAAAAAGTGATTTATGATTGTTGCAGCATTCCATGGTCAAACGGTATAAACAAAATTCGGATGCTTGGCACCTGGCATGTATTATGACTGTTGCACTATCCCGGGGTCATGTGGTCACCATTGGTAACCTTCCCAGTCAGCTTCTAACAAGCAAATTCATTGGGGGAAGCTGGATTCACTTAACAACTGTGTGATTCACTTAACAACTGCAACAATTCACTTAATAATTGGCGAAAAGGTCTTAAGTAGGGCAAAGCTAAACAACTTCCTGGTTTAGCCATGGAAATTTTGGGCTTAATTGCTCAATCAAATAGGCTTTTCCTATTGGTTGTTCCTCCAGACAGGATTATACCCACGTGCCCAACAAGACAAATTTCCAATAGCTGAGGTTATTTTATTATTTTAGAATCCTAATCTAATTCTTGGAGACCTTGGGGTAGAATGGGCAACACTAGTTGAATCAGCCAATGCCAACTCTTGTAGATCATCTCAGACTTGTATCACAAAATCTTAAATTGCTTTAACCATAATAGTAACAAGGTGTAGTAGGAGAAGCAGACAATACTCATTCTGTTAGAATGTGACAATGGAATTTCTTGCACCTGAAAATCTGCTATCCAGACAAGCCAGAAATTCATGATCTTGCTTGAAGAAATTGGTGCCATAGTTATTGGGAGAGTTTCAGTGTTTCAACAGTCTAAATGTGGACTCAAAAGAATTCAGAGCCTTTTTGGGGAATGGATAGGTTCTTTGTCTCAGATTATTTAATGAATGGCCACAGCGCTAACAATAGGTATTGTCATTAAAATGTACTGTTTAATACGAATCCTGCCATCTTAAAATCTCAAACCAATATAAAATCTTCTGCTCCAGATCATTCAAAAGTAAAACTCTAGCTTGGCCATATATTTTCCTTAAAGGACTAGTGAGTGAAAAACTCGTATCTCCATCAAAAGAGTCAATGTGTTTATAAGATTAATATTCTTTCACTAATTCATGAATCCCTAAATTTGATATTTTTTCATAAACTCTGTGAAATAAATGTGTTTTTCTATTTAAACAGCCACATGATGGCAGTATTTTATGGCAAGACATTTTCTATTACAGTATGTAATTTGCAGAAAATGTTATTCATTACTTAGAAGTTCATGAAACCATTCAGATTTTCTGGAATATTTATGAAAGTTTAACAATACAAGACAGAAAAAAATGACTGTGCCTTTTTTGTGCCTTGAAGGTGACAGAAAGATGCCTCTTTTACAATGGTCAGCTTTGACCATTTTCTTTATTCACATTGAGTGTAATATCTTACATTTTAATGCATTTCTATGTTATATTAAATTTTTAAAGTTTGGATTCATATCCATAAAATAATCTTGTTTGGTTTACATAATTACAAAAATTTAAATACACTTGACAATTTATAAAATAGTTTTCTGCTGAATTATAAAATAGTCTGTGGCTGGCACTTTAAGACCTCTAGATAGTTACATTTCTTTCTCATCCTGATGTTAAAATTTATCACGATGAATCTTAACTGATAAGCAATTGAGCAAAGTGTCATTTCTCTGAAAATTGCCTGTTCTCTACCCAAAATCTACATTTGTCTTCTGTATAGCAGAGGCTGACCAGATATGTTTTTTTATTTAAATGGATTTTAATATTTAGATGTATTTATAAAGAAAGCTGCTAGAGAAAGTTTTTATGGACATAGTATTAAGGTTAATATGTCAGAACAAAAATAAGAGTTTATAATCTGGAAGAGCAAGTATACAGAAGTTAAGATCAAAACTAAAAAGCATAGTAATTATGGCAAAACTGAATTTGGGATTTAATATTCTAGTTTACTAATTTAAGAACAAAAATTATATATATAGTTAATTTTTCTCCTCCACTTATTTGGGGGAAATGTGGCCAAAGTTTTGAGAATCGGAAAAATGTATAAGCATAAGCATGTTCCAGCATGTAAAGGAATTCTGCATAGGGACTTTTATTCAAGGCACAAGGAACTGCCTATCGAGAAACAATCAGTAACTTGCATTTTTATTAGTTTTAAAAACTATTGATCGAGTTTCAAACATAACAAGGGGACAGTTGACATTAAAAACATTTATATATATTGAGCGGGGGGGGGATTGACATTTGTAGGAATAAGTAAATGAGATAAACTATTTGAAGATCTGCTATATTTAATCAATTGCTTCGATCCTAAATCATAATATTTGTACACTGATGTCACCAACTAATTAGTAACATATTTTTTTTAAAAAAATACAAATTATTTTTTAAATTAATATTGAAATTATAAATACATGGATGGCAAGAAAATTAATGGGAAAGGCATTTTCTGTTTTATGTAAGATAGTACTTGCTGTGAAGTATGAAATCCTTAAATGCACATTTTTGCACATTTCACTAATTAAATGTGCTTATTCAGTTGAACATTTTCAGAGGCAGCAGTAATTTCAGTTTGAAACCATTACCTTGGAGTGAGATCACTTTATAATTCCTATTAAATGATACAGTTTTTCCCTCCTTTTGTAAAGTAATAAAGAGCCTATTTAAATCATTATTCTTTGCTTATATCGCATAAGCCTCTGTAGTTTGAAATTCCTGAAAACATTCTAAACATTCCAGAACATATTGAAGCAATCTATGTTCATAAACATTTCTGGACCTAACGATAGAACTGCATTCCTTTTGATTTGTAGAAAACATGATTCCTGATAGCAAAGCCTTTTAGAAAAGAAGTGAATGTGATATAACAGGATTTCCAGGGGATAACATTCACATTTATTTTGTTTCACGGCTGCTTCGGTTCATTAAAGGTGTGCCAAGTTTTGAAGCCTAAAAAATTAGCTCAGATCCAGACGTAGTAATCCCTGATTAGTGTAATCCTGTTGAAATCAATGGGAATTAACTTGCCATTGCTAATAAGACCATTGATTTTACTTTATATGCTTTTGGTATGCAATGTCTGGATCTGGTCCATTATAACCAGAGTTAATAATGGAATAATGAGTAATAAAAAAACTTGTGTGTAGAAAACAGTCTACATCTATAACTTTAAACTTTAATTACAGCAGGTAGTGTATTTAATAAC